AATAGGCATCATAAGTGATAGACAAAACATTAAATCATGGGTCAGAATAACTGAGTTGTAATCCTGGTTCTGATACTTACTAACAGTTACTTTAAAAATATCACTTTTCTTCTCTGAGATTTAGTTTCCTGCCCCAACAATTGAGTAAAGAACCTAAACTAAATTTAGACTTCTATAATTCCATCAAAAATACATTTATTTCTCTGTCAAAAATAGTTTTCATAAAAATGCATAAATACTCACTCTGAGTCTAACACATCCTCTGCGAGAGCCTCTCATCATCTTGTCCTTGGACTAAAAGGAAAACAAAAAATTCAATGAACATCATGAATAGATTGATAAATTGTTTTTAGAATTATCTTGGGATAAAGACAAGATTTACAGCACTATATCCATCCCTTCCGCCCACTCCACTCCAGAAAAGAAATCACTATGGATAGTGATTATAAAGGTTATCAATGAAAATGATTCATAGCACATAAAATTAACCAAATCCCAAGACTTTATACTTACTTTTCATGTAACATATATTACACTATAATTTCCGTTCCTTCTCATGCCCCTTAATTCTAGCCCATTGTTTCTCATATTTACTCCAAGAATCACCTAGAAGGCTAAGAATCACCTGGACCTCTAAAAATTGCTCCCAGATGATTCTGATAAAGAGAGGTAGAAGACAACACTCTGAGAAAGAAACCTAACTCCAGCTTTACTTCCTTCCAATTCCCCAAGTGGAACTGTTTAACTCTACGACATCTCATTCAATGGTCCTCACTTTGGCATACCCTTGACCCAGATTTTCTGCCTTGCTGTCACTTTCAGTGCCTTTGCTCTGTCTGATTTAGACATATTGGCCTAGACGAAATATTAATTTTGCCCACCCTGGGCCCCCAGAGTCTCCTGTATGTGCCATGCTGTGTTAACAATGGCTGGTTTACTGGCCTGACTTATCCACAAGACTGCACATTTCTTACAGGGTCGTAATTGTACCTGACTCATCTTATGCTTCAGAACAGTGTTTGGTACACATTAGGTGTTCAAAAGAAAACATTTAGTGATCAAACACTGCTTACCCTGTCTGTCTCCCTCACCAGACCGATCCAAGCAAGCAAAAGCTATGTAACCCACAAGAAGCATATTGACATTCCATAAATATTACTAAAATTATATCACCCTATGTAATAAAGTAAAACTTCAAATAAAGTGTTTTTTTTTTTTTTTTAAGAGACAGTGTCACTATGTCGCCCTCAGCAGAGAGTGCTGTGGGATTACAGCTCACAGCAACTTCAAACTCTTGGGCTTAAAGTAATTCTCTTGCCTCAGCCTCCCAAGAAGCTGGGACTACAGGCACCCACCACAAGGCCAGGCTATTTTTTGGTTGTAGTTCTCACTGTGGTTTGGCAGGCCCAGG